TGTATCTATCCACAGTGCCTCTAATCAGTGACTGTGAGAGGCCTCCCAGCTGAGGAAGTGATTCTATGCAGTATCTTAGAAACTTAACTCTTTCAGCACTGTCAGGAGCTTTCCTGGCCCCAGGATTCATGAAATCAGTTTATCATCTCCCCTTGCAATCAAGAAACTGCAGAGAATTCTTCCTTCCACAGAAGCATGCAGACTGGAACAGAAAAGGGGAAAAGAAGGAGACATTTCTCAACCAAGCAGGAGAAGACATCCCTGCTGAAAGCGGACTCAGGAAGAGGGCTAGTATCTTTGTAAGAGGAATGTGGTGCCTGGTGCCCTAGGTCTGCTGGCTTTTTTTCTGAAAGAGAAGGAAACTGAGGAGGAACCTCTGAGCCTGCTCAGGGATGCCAGCAGGTAGGAGGAAGGGGGAGTTGTTCATTCACACTAATGACATCAGAGCAAGCCAGGAGCCAGGAGCAACAACAAAAAACAGCAAATGGGAGCAAAGGTCAACAAATCATTTTGGAGGATCAAACCTATTTCCTTAAGGTCTGAGATTGTCACAGGCATAGGCAGAAGATCCAAGTATGTCCTGATAAGTCAACAAGTCCTCCAGTTATAAATGCACCAAATTCTTTTATATGTATGAGTGTATTGCCTGCATGTATGTAAGTGCACCCATGTCATGTAATGCCCATGGAGGTCAGAAGAGGGCATCGGATCCCTTAGACTAGAGTCACAGAAGGTAAGCTGCCATGTGGGTGTTGGGACTCGAACACAGGTCCTCTACAAGAGCAGCCAGTGCTTAACTGCTGAGACATCTCTCAGCCCTAAATCCACCAAATTCTTTAGGCCTTTCAAATACTCCCAGGCTCTCACAGGTGTGGAACTCTGAGTCACATACTATTTTTATACCATTGTATTCACTCTGTATAATGTCCTAAAAAAGCCACCAGACCATGTCACCATCTATGGTGCTTGTTAAATTTCAAATTTTCAGATTTCAAATAGATATTCTGATTCAGTGAGCTGAAAATGACAAGTGCTTTTTAGATTGAAATATTTAGGTCCGGGGACATGGTTTAGTAGACAAAGCACTTGTTGTGCAAGCGTGAGAATTGGAGTTCAGATCCTCAGAATTCATGTAAAAACCAGACAGATATGTTAATCCAATCCCAGTGCTTCAGAGGTGGCGACCAGGAAGCCACAGGGCAAGTCAGTTTGCTAGACTAAACTGTCAGACCCTGGATCCAATGAGAGAATGTCTCAACAAATAAAAGTAGACATTGATCAAAGATGATAACTGAAGAGATGGCTCAGCAGGTAAGAGCACCAGCTGCTCTTGCAGAGGACCTGGGCTCAGTTCCCAGCACCCACATGGCGGCTGACAACTGTCCATAACTCCAGTTCCAGGGGATCTGATACCCTGTTCTGACCTCTGAGGGCATTGCATGACATGTGTACACTTATACACAGGCAGGCAATATACTCATACACATAAAAAACAAAATAACAAATAAACATTTTTTAAAAGAAGACATCTGACAACAACTTCAGGCCTCCACACACATGCAAACAAAGCACACAGGTGCACACACACACACACAGACACACACACACACACAAATCAATAAATAAAAAAATTACTTATATTTGAGGAAGAAGTATAAAAATGCATCTTAAATGTATTATTGTTGTTGTTGTATGTGTTAGATGTGTGAGTTTGTGGGCACATGCCATGGTGCTTTTCACATAGCACACCTGAAATATGTACACAGACATTTAATCAGTATTAATAGTTTCTAATGAATTATTATTTATTATTCTTTTCATAGTAAGTCTTTGGAACCTAGTGTATATTACATCTATTGTATGTCTCAGCTAGGACTAAATGCATTTCTATTGATCTGTGGTTATTGTACCAGACAATGCAAATGTAAGGCAGAGGTTCTCAAATGTTACTGGTATCACAAACAGCTGTAATTCTTGTTATAACACAAATTTCTAGACCCTGTCTCAGAGTTTCTGATTCCCCTCAACTGAGATATAGTCCTAAAACTTACATTTTAATAAATTTTTAGTAATGCTGATAGTGGATATTACATTTTGAAAAATCCACAAACTCAGAGCTTTCATTTAGCTATTCATTTGATCTTATGGAAAAGTAATTTTATTCATTTAATAATTTTTAACTATTTGAACTGAAGAAAGAATATATAATGACCTTTTCACTACATTATTTTTAATTTGCTATTCTTCCTCTTGGCCTCACATTTCAAAATAATCATAGCTCATTTAAAATGAACCTATCCTGGACTCCACTGAGCTTAATTAAATTCCCATCTAATTCGAAACAATGCAGAAAAGCTGAATGACTGAACAGGTTCGGTATAATGTAAACACCAATGACTGTAAATTATGTGACTGTGCTTCATTTTCTACTCCACTATTATTAGCTGTGCAAGCAGAAAAAAAGTTATATAAAAAAATAAATAAAATAAAATAAAAGATTCAGGTGCTTGTTATAATGTAACTCAATTGGAAAATTGCTTTAATAGGTCCCCAACAAGCTTGTAGGGAGACTGATCCCCACTTAATAGATAAGGACAGTGAGAATCAAAGAAGAAAAGAGACATGCCCAAGGTCACACAACTACTAAGGAGAGCAACTCCCAATGTGGATGCAATATGTATGCTATTTCAAGAAGTCCATTTTGTCAGAGCTAGCCTCAGGAAACCCACACCTTGTGTCAGAATATAGCATCAGTCACCAGGAAATGAGTATGTTCAATATCCAGAGCCATCAGAAAGAACCAGGGACCAACTAAAGCACTACATTGAACAATAGCCAAAGGGAAAAAGAAAAAACAAAAAAGAGAAGACAGATGCTCTTCCATCTTGGTTCCATCTTGAGCCTTTAACATTTATACTTCCTACAGTCATACAACTTAACAGAGTGGTCTGACTAATACATCTGTTTGGCTAAAATGATCTAATACTTTGTTCATTACAGCACAAAAATATAACAGAAACCTACATAAAGCTCCTCTCAGAAATAACTTTAGACAATGTCAGACCAAAAGAGGAATAGTGAGGATGAGGCCTTCGCCCACACGGTACTGCCTCCCTGGTAGGAATCTACAATGGTGACGAACTACTGTCTAGGGCAAAGTGCAGACCTCTAGCCTTCTCTCCTGAGATGGATCCTCTCAACTTAAGTGACCTTTGACTAACAATCTTTCACATGGGGAGGGGGTTAACATGAAGAATGAGGTGCTTGTGAAATGCATCCTTTCCTATCTCTTTCTAGGAGTCCCTGTGCCTGAACTATCTTATCAATTTACCCCATGAAAAGATCGCAGCCCTACAAAATAGGACGGGTAGGAGAGGAGCTCACTCTGCTATCTCTGCCTCTCCCAAGTTTCAACAAGAATGATGAGGAGACTATGGGCTCTCTGAAGGTGACACAACACCTGCCTCCTTAATCTATACAGGCTCTTCTGCTTTAATTTATATAGCCTCAACTTTCTTCTCCAACTGGTCCTTTGATTCATAGGTTTTCCCAACTGAGATTCTAAATCTGTCTCAAGTTGAGAAGACCCATCCTTTGTATCCCTTTAGGCATGGGGTGAAGCTGGCCAGGGACCGGCCACACTAAGGCTTCATACCCAAGCTCTCAATGTATACCCACCTACAGAAGCCCCTCCAAATTCAAACTCATTGAGTATTTTGTAACAGTCTCTATCATGCAGTATATACTTTATTAACATGTAATTTATTCAAATATAACTGTTGACTTAGCATGGGTACCACTGTAGTTTGGGATAATTTTAATACATTTTCATAAAAAGTAGAATAAGTTCATATCAAATGTACTCAGTTAAAATCAGCTTCTGTGCTGGTTAGATTTGTCAACTTGACACAAACTAGAGACACCTGTGAAGAAGGAACCTTAACTGAGGAATTTTCTTCATCAAATTGGCCTATGGCTGTGTCTGAGGAGGATTTTATCGATTGTTAACAGATGTAGGAGGGCCCAGCCCACTGTGGGTGGTGCCATTCCTGGGCAGGCAGGCTTGGGCTGTATAAGAGGTAGCTGAGCAAGTCAGAGGAAGCAAATTAGCAAGCAGTGTTGGTCCTCCACCCAATTCATGCCTCTGCTCCTGCTCTGACTTCTCTCAATGATGCATTGTGACCTGGAAGCCTAAGATGAAATAAACTCTTTTGTGGTGGTTTGAAAGAGAAGTGTCTCCCATAAGCTCAAGTATTTGAAAACTTGGACAGTTAGTGGTGCTTTGTGGGGAAGGTCATGGAACCTTTAGAAGGTACAGTCTTGCTGAAGAAAGTACATCACTGGGGGAGGGCTTGGTTCATAGCCTCATTCCACTTTGAATCAGACAGAGTCTCTCTCTCTCTCTCTCTCTCTCTCTCTCTCCCCACCCCCACTTTCCTGTGCAAGCTTGAAGACGTAAATGCTTAGCTTTCTTCTATGGCCACTTCTGCCTCTGTGTCTCCTTGTCATGATAAACACTTAACCCTCTGAAACTGCAAACCTAAATAAACTCTTCATTCTATAAGTTCCCCTGGTTACAGTGTTTTATCACAGCAACAGAAAAGTAACTAATACACTTTTCCTCCCCAAGTTAGTGTTTTATGATAGCAACAGAAACAAAACTAGAACAGCTTTCTGGAAAAATATATTTCCTACCCTAATTTCATTTACCATGTAAAGCATTCTTTCAGAAAGAGAGTTACAGTTCCCTCTGGATTTTTCTCATCTCCATCAAATGTGTTCAATTTTAACGGACGGTCCTTACCTTCTTAGATACTCACATTCCAGGCTGGACAGGAAACAATGGTGCTTGAGAATGTGCAGTGAAGGCAGAAGATAGATTCAAGATGTTTCAAATATGCAAAATCACATGCAGATGTAAAAACAGTATGCCCAGTCAAAGAAAGTTAAGAAAGAAAAAAGGAAGAGCACAAATAAAATCCAAATTGTAATTAACATACCGTGCTGTGACACCTGTTGCTTTCCATGATAAGAAGTCTGGGAGATCAAAGAAATGTCCCGCTTTATCCCAGCAAGTCTCTCTCAAGTTCTGCCAAATTAAATATATATTAGAATCAATTATGGCTTTTTGCTAGTCCTCTCCCCTTTCAAAAATGTTTAAAATTTTTCAAAACAAAAACACAGCCAACAGTGTTCATGAAAACATCTGTTCAAGGGCTTGGGGGTGTATACAAGAAAGAAAGCATGCCAATTATCAGTCCTTCCAAAACTGACCATAATTTCCGGTTTTCCACTTTTTGCAACCTGAAGGGAGAGAAATCACACTGTGAACACAGAATCCATCTTCCTAGCTAAGGCAAGAGGATATGCTTGCTTCAAATGCAGAGAAAGATGTTAGCACCTTGCTGCTACAACCTGGAGAGAAGCTGCACTAAGTACTCAACGAACATGAACACGCCTGCATGACAACGCCCACATGCCAACTTGGACCAAAGGCAACAGAAAAGGTGGTTTTCTGTCCTCAGAGAACTTCCAGCCTATGCCAAAGATAACAATCAAATCAAGCCATTGTAATGTTTTTAAAGTTTTATTTTATTCTGTATTGCCAAACAGCCAGACTGTTTTCTTGTTGCTGGGCTTTTTCCTTCCTCTACCAAATTTGTCTGGAAAATCCATTCCTCACTTACCACTTTTGTTTCCTCCCAGAACTATGTCCTCCTGTCCTTTGAGTTAACCCTACAACCATTCCTTGGGGGCATTTCCAGGATCACCTACTCAAGGTTATCCCTAGGTTTCAATGAATACCACCCCACAATGGTTGGGGTAATGTCCTTTGTTTCTCCTACTGGAAGCTCTGTGAGGTCTAGGGCTTTGCCAGCCTTGTTCAGCATGGTATCTTGGAGCTGTCACCTCCTGATGACTGGGTAGACTTTCCTCTGCTGAATGGAACCTACATGGCTCCACTCCTCTTACTGTAAATACTTGATTTAACCAGGGCTGGACATCCAACAAGCCAGTGAAGCACATCCTTCTTCCAGGATTTTAAAAACCAGGGTCCAAATGAAGCCATTTAACTTCTGCCTGTAAATAGAACTATAAGAGGTAAACTTGAAAACTATGAAGTGGCCACTTTGTGCCACGTATCTAGAGAGAAAGAACATTTTAAAAAAAGAAGAAAAATGGGCGTAGTGGTGTACACCTTTAATACCAACTCTTGGGAGGCAGAGGCAGGTGGATCTCTGTGAGTTCCCAGCCACCCTGGTCTACATAGGGAGTTCCAGATCAGTCAGTGTTATATAGTGATACCCTGTCTCAAAATTAAAAAAAAGATAGAAAAGAGTCAAGACAGAAGCCATAGCCAAAAAGATTCCCTATCACTTGTGAAACTTTCTATGTTTTGCTAACAATTATTCTTTGTACAGGAGACTAAAAAAAAAGAGCAAAGAAAAAGAAAAAAAATTATCATAGGCTTAAGGGTATTTGGGGAATGCAAAAGGAATGATGCAGGAGATTCAAAGGAGACATTCGACAGCCTGTGCAGCTTGCTGCCACACAGGGAGAACTCAGTAGAAACTTGCTGAACTATTATACTGCTCAGTTTCACTTTCCAGTTTCTCTCCTGGGATGGATAGCTCAGAGGTGATGAAGGGTTCCCACCTGTGTTACCTCCTTAGAGCAACACAAAAGCACCAAGAGTTTTTATATCAATTTTATACACACACACCTGACCTTCACATATATTTACCCTCAAATTTGGAGTTTTTCCTACTTCCTGTTCCTTTTCACTTCTGTATCAGCACAAACATCTATGTCCAGGCACTGTTCAAGTACAGGGTTCTACTAGAACAAGCACATCAAAAATTTCAAATGTAAAAGTCCAAGTACTAACACACTTCTGTTGTTGCTGTCTGTGTGAGAGCCTGTATCTAGAAGGAAACCTGCCCTAAACTTCTCTTTGAATATACACACATCTTAACATCAAGTAAAGCAAATCTTGCAGTTTTTCTAAATGTGCCTTACATATCTATGAACCAGTCTAATCCTGTACGCTAACACTTTACAATCAGAAAATAGTAGCCTTTGAAATTATGATGAAACTACCAGTATGTCTTTTGAATAAAAAATCTATTTCCATGTACTTTGTGGTCGCTGCCATCAGTGCTCATGGAAAAGGCAGCCCCCTTCTAGAGTTCCAGAAAAGCAAGGCCAGTCACCAGGCACAAACCACCAAACCACCACAGCAATAAAGACTACTTCTAGCCAAAGCCAAACAATCTTCCTAAGCTGAGAATACAACCACTTCTGTTAGATATTATATATGGTCACTAAAAACCCTGCATGATAATGGCCTTTGGCTGACAGCCACACAGACAGCCACTGTAGACAACGGTATCCAAATAGAACATCTCTAAGAGAACCTTAAGGCTTTGGGCAAAGACGTATACTGGGGATAAGACGAATGAAGCACCCAGGAGCACTTCTCCTGGGGTTATATCATCTTCACAGATCAAAGCAAGAGACTCTGGTCAACCTCTGCATAGGATGAAGAATCAGAACAAACATAAGACATTTTAAAGAATTTAGTTATTCTAAATTCCCTGATTTCTCTACAAATACAAGTCTGTGAACTGGCCAACAAAGAGAAAGGGAAGAGTTTGGGTCAGAGATGTATCTGGAAGCTGGATGCTTGCTTGAGAGACTGGCGGGCTATTAGGATCTCACACAGTTCTCCCATTGGCTACGAGACTCACAAAGATTTTGTCACCAAGTACCAGATTTGCCAAAAGCAGATTTGTACCTGTAGATGACATTTTATCCAGTTCCGTGGAGAAATCTCTCTGTCCTTCCTCCTCCCCAGCCGGTGCAATCTCAGTCAGTACAATCCTAGACAAGGACTTACTGAATTAATTCTATTCTTATAACCAGGACACACTGACAGTCCTGTTGACACCACAATTTATAAGAATGCTCCCAGACTGTTTTGCCCCATGTGATTCTCAGAGCAGTTCAGAAGGGTGCAGGCAAAATATAATAGTGTCATACCAAAGATATAGGAGCTGAGGGGCCAGACCCCAGGGGTTTAGCCCTAAGTCACTGGGGCATCAGTTAAAAAGTGAATGGTCATTTCTTGTACTATATGTCAGCAGTCATGTGAGCTCCTAGCAGAGCTGTGGGTTTGGGGCCTTTGGAAATTTCTTGATAGAAGAGACTGTCATTCTTTACAGGATAAAAAATAAACAACCAGAAGCCCTTCCAAGGACATTTCAGAGATTTCAATTTCAGTCTTGGACAGCTTACTTAATTTCTATGAACCTAACCATACCCTCCATGGATAAGTAGTCCACAGGTTGGAGAGCACACAGCTCAGGCCCTCCACACAGGCCAACGTTAGCTATGGGACAGCTCAATCCAGTTCCAAGTAGAGGCTCTGGGTGCTGAAAGAGTTAAGTCTTTCTGTCCTCCAGTTACCAAGGGACTAACAAAAACTAGTCTTTTCAAGAAACAAAGAATCAGCAGTGATTTGGGGTGTATGACTTGGCACTAAAGGTTCTGCATTCCAGTAACAATCCTTTGAGCTAAGCAATCCCCCAGCTTGAAAGCAACCAAAGAGAACAGCTTTTTTTTTTTTTCCTATCATTTATTACTTCATAAAACCACAGCATTTCTTGGGAGGAGGCTACTACTCAAAGCTCACACAGCTGCGGGTCTCAGCGGAGGGTGGGGGCAGAGCACTTATGTTCAAGATTCAAAGCCAGGCATCAACATAGCCTGGGCCAGAGGAGCCTTTGCCCTGCCCCCATGGCACCGTCTGGAAGCTGTGAGGCTTCTGCTGCTTCAAGATGCTGAAAATACTGTGCGGGAGCAACATGAGAAGAGAGGTGTACCCAGTTCAGAAAGTGTGGCAAGTATTTCACTATTAACTTCAAACAGATTCTATCTGGGCTATCTGTGGTGTGCAGTGAATGAAAGGGAGAGAACAGAGCTCGCATCCAAGTATTTACCATATCCATGTTGTTTAACAGAACTACCCATGAAAAAGCAAAAATTTTTTCCTGACTCTATATTCAAGGCTTCAAATTAGAACACAGGCTGGTAGCCAAGTTATTTCAAGAAGAAACTTAATCTTCAATGCCATTCTTTAAAGAAATTGATGTTGAAAACATGCAGTGGGTCATATGCCCAGCCATAACCTTCTCAGAATGAAAGAAACCATTGTGTGTTTCAAACTCCCATACACAGACAAGGAGCAAATACTAACAATGCTTCTAGGCAGATAGGCAAATAAATGGGTTTGTGCCAAGAGAGGCATCTTTCAAAAAGCCAAGACCCAGCATTCCATTCCTTTGTTATAACATTTATAACGTTTAACAGCTTCTCATGGCCTAAAGTCACTCTCACTCTTTGGGGCTCTTAATCTGACTCCAGTTCACCCATTGTGATTACTAGGGTTTCTTTCTGGGCTCACTGTCTAGCCTCTCTGCATACACTCACTGTGCCTTCACTGTATTTCTTTGATTCTCCCAATACACTGCACTCCTTTGTCGGTCCATGTCTCTGCTTGGGCTGGTGCCTCTATGTGGACTGACTTCCCGCTGCTGGCTCCCCTTCTCAATCTACCATTGACTGAAATCCAGCTCATATGTACCTTTGCTGAGTCTCCAATCCCACACTAGCTGATTATACACTGATATGTCTAAATCCACCTTAAGTGACAAACTTCTGGAAGGCAAAAGACAAGTCTACTCATGGGGGAAAAAATGGAAAAAGCTCCGGGAGATATAAAGAGATTTAAAGCTAGGCCCTTTGTAAAGGAAGTCAATTTTTCTACTTCCAACTGGCGCTGGAAATAGATAAGTGCAAAGAAAAAGTAATTTAAAAATATGATGTATGACAATAATGTAATGAGTCTGCTATCAAGGCTTGGTGAGTCAGCCTCATAACTTTATCACAGCATTTTGTGGGGGACCATATATCTGTCTCTAATGAGTAATCCCAGACAGGGTTCAGAGGAGGGAGAGGACTTCAAGCCTAGGGTGGCTAAAACAGGCTTCACAACAAGAAGACTTCAGCTGGAACCTAAAGCTCAAG